AGGTTGAGGCACGAGAAGTGCTTGACCTAGGAGGTGGAGGTTGCAGTGAGCCGAGATTGTGCCATTGCACTCCAGCCTGGGTGACAGAGCAAGACTGTCCAAAAAAAAAAAAAAAAAAAAAAAAAAGTGAATAGTAGAAAGGGGTGATGGAGGATACGGGATATAAACCCCTTGGGCACAGCTGGTGGCGGCCTTTCTGTAGAGCACCTGCCACTCAAACAAATTAACCCCTCATCCTCTGCAACCCACTCCCAAGCCAAAGTCCCAGAGACATCCCTGTGCCAGCCCTGGAGGGTGCAAGGGCGGCAGCTCACCTTATGTGTGGGTGGGGGAAGGTGGGGGTCACTTGGGTGTCTGCCCCAGGGACTGGGCAGCTGAGATTGGGGCTACACACAGAAAGGATCATGGATAAGTCACAGCCACAAAACCTTTCACACAATTGTTCATGCCACAAAGTAGCCACAAGTATTTTGCAGGGCCACATTCCAGCAAAAAGACACAAAGTGACAGAATATCTGCCTTTGAGTGGGGGTGAGAAGAGGTGGATGGCAGGTACCGGAAGAGAAGGGAATAAATACATGAAGAAAAATGACCCCCTTGGGCAGTGCCTGGCACAGCGTAAGTGCCCAGGAAACAGCGGCTCAGTTGCTCATGCTCCAGGCAGCAGGGCTGGGACCAGCACTGGCTTCCTGGTGAAGGAGGCCACGCTTTCCTTTTTTTTTTGAGACGGAGTCTCACTCTGTCACCAGGCTGCAGTGTAGTGGCACAATCTCGGCTCACAGCAACCTCTGCCTTTCAGGTTCAAGCGATTTTTCTGCCTCAGTCTCCTGAGTAGCTGGGACTACAGGCATGCACCACCATGCTCAGCTAATTTTTGTATTTTTAGTAGAGACGGTTTCACCATATTGGCCAGGTTGGTATCAAACTCCCGACCTCGTGTTCTACCCACCTTGGCCTCCGAAAGTTCTGGGATTACAGGCGTGAGCCACCAGCCTCACCCTTTCCTCTTGAAGGGCTTGAGTAGGCATGTCAGCACCCGGTGGGCACCCAGCTGACCAGGGGCCTTCACCTCTGTGGGGGTCACCGGCCTGGCCCTGAGAACTGGATGAAGGCTGGAACAATTCTTCCTGTAATAAAGCAAATGCAACCACTTGCAACATTTTCCTTCATTTCAGAGACTCCCACAGCATAAGGCTGAGTCCCCAGGTGCTCCGGTGGAGGTGGCGGCAACACTGAGCACTGAGTTGGTTTCCATAGTTTTCATTATTTAAATGTTTAAATGACTAGGCCGGGCATGGTGGCTCAGGTTTGTAATCCCAGCACTTCGGGAGGCTGAGGTGAGAGGATCGCTTGAGCCCAGGAGTTTGAGACCAGCCTGTGCAACGTAGTGAGACTGTGTTT